GGTCTCTTCCAACCTGGTTGATTCAGTGATTCTGAGATGGGGCACGAGGCTGGTTGGTACCTGAGGAGCTCAGTCCCAGCTCCCTCTCTCCCTGCCCAGAGCTGTTCTCACACTGCAGGTGGCGGAGGAGGATGCTAATGAGATCCTGAGGTCTGTCCTGCCCTCCCCAGCTCTGGGATAATGACAGAATCAATCAGATTGGGAAAGACCTCTGGGGCCATCCATTCCAGCCTGTGATGCCCTGGGTTTCCTGACCAGACATTGTTGTTTTTCAGGTGAGGTGCAGGCTGACAGGACACGAGATGCCGTGTCGGCTGGCGGAGCTGCAGGCTTACACCAATGGCAAGAAGTATCAGCGGCTGATCAAGACAGCCAGAGAGTTTGATTACAGCAAGTTTGAGCCCCACATAGTGCCCAGCACAAAGAATTTGTACGTATTCTTCCTCCTGTGTGTTATGCTTTACACTTTGTTCAGTCTCAGGCTCTTCAGTCTTCATGGGTTTGGGGAGACTGGGAAAGGCTTTCTGAAGTATTTATCAGCTTTGAGTACAGTGCTTGTAAGTGAAACGTTATGAAGTAACAGCACACTTAAACTCTTGCTGGCTTTTTCTTTTGGTGCCTGTAGACACCAGCTGTTCTGCAAGCTCACCCTCAGACACATCAACAAGTTTCCAGAGCATGTGCTGCGTCACGTCCAAGGGAAGCGCTATCAGAAGGCCCTGCAGACGTGTAAGTAGCTTTTCTGAAGCTGTAACCAATGTTTTTTACCTTGAGCTTTGAGATTCCAGTGGATCTTTGTGAAGGGAAGGGGACAGATTGCTTTAGATTGGCAGCAGTGTGTTGCTGTGTGTGCTCCTTGGCTAGAAAGGAAGATCCCAGATGTAGGGAGCAATTGGCCTCTAGCAAATACCTTGGAGCATTCCTCCTTGGCCTCTAGCAAATACCTTGGAACATTTCTCCTTGGAATCACAGCATCCTCAAGGTTGGAAGTGACCTTTTAGATCATGAATCCCAACCATCCACCCAGCACTACCACTGTAACCCCTAAACTGTATCCCCCAGCCCCAGATCCAGACACCTCTTAAACACCTCCAGGGATGGTGACTCCACCACCTCCCTGGGCAGCCTATTCCAGTCCCTGACCACCCTAAATCCTTGAGAGGATTGTTTCTAAAGCTTCCCCAGGGAGGGTGGTTCATGCATCCAGCACAGTCTCTGTGTTAACATCTTTCCTGACCCATAGGATCACTGTGGATTACATGGATGCACATCTGAGTTGGACTGTGCTGTACATTTGAGTTGCTGTAAGCTGGAGCTGGGAATGAAGGGACTCAGAGAGTTGGTAGCCTGGCTCAGTGCTGCCCAACCCTCTCTCTGTTAGATGAGAAGTGCCAGAGGGAAGGAGTGGAGTATGTCCCTGCCTGCCTACAACAGAAGAAACAGCGGGTGCAGCACCACGATGACCAAATGGATGGGATCAGGCAGCCTCACAGGAAACAGGAATTCTGGGAGCCAAAATCCAGTGATGAGGATGGAGAGGAGTCAGATGACAGCATGAGTGACCTGTACCCACGTGAGTAAGAATGTTGGTATCACCTATGTCCTGAAGGCAGTTTGTTGGCCAGTTTTCTCCTGGTTTCGTTATGCTGTTCCCTGCTGCTCTGCCATCCAGGTGGGGATTCTTGGGTTTGGGAAAAGCTTAGCACCCCCAAACAAGAAATAGCAGTTATCACTAAGTAATAATCAGTTGGATCATGTAAGTTGTGAGGGTAGGGATCTTCTGGGATCTGCTGCTTTAGCTATCTCCAGTTTCATCATTTCTCAGCAAGTCCTTGACACTGACAGAAAGTGCTCAGGATGTTTTACTGACTTATATCTGGAGGTGCAGATCCATCTTGCTGCAGGAGCAGAGGTGTAACCCCATGGAACCTGTCCTGAAGTTCCCAGAAGAGGAGTAGTGAAAGCACAGGCACATTTCCAATAAAACACCAGTGTGTTTATTTCCTAAGTATTTTCACTAGTGACACTGAAAATAAATATATGTATATATATATATATATTCAGTATGTATTTCAGTGACTGGAAGCAGCATGGGAAATCACCTTTAAGCTGCCCTCAAAGTAAACTTAGGGGGGAGGCAGAGCTTTGTGTGCACAGGGAACTGATTCTGAGCTGAATCTTTGTGTTTTAGCTGCACTCTTCCCAGAAAAAAGCCCATCAGCTCCTCAGGCCACAAAGGGCAGTGATGACTTTGCGACAGACAGCGAAGATGATGGGGCCAAGCAGAATGGTGCTGTGAATGGGGACGGTGGAAGGAAGGATGTCGGCACAGCAGTTGGCAACAAGAGGGGCAAGGTGGGAGTCACCCTGCTGTGTGCAGCAGCAGGGGAGTGTGGAGCTGGGATCCCATCCTGTAGGTGTTTCATCTGTTCCTGTCTGAGAACCAGCAGAAGGTGCAAAGCTGTTCAGAATAGACTTTCCCTGTGTGCCAGACACTGATTCGCATCCCGAGGTGTGAATTACTGCCAGGCAGTGTTGATCCTGTTTGGGATGTTCCTGCCTGTGTAAACAGCTCATCTTGGGTGGGATCCTGTTGCACAGCATCTGAGCAGGGAGGCTGATGCATGTCTTGTGTGTTCTGTAATTGTCCTCCTAATGCACAAACTTTGCAAGTCCTTCTAGACCCTTTTTCTGCCTCTTTTTGAGGCAGATCCCACTCAGTTTGGGAAGCAGAGATACTTCACATAGATAAAGATGGATAAACCTTTTAAGGCAGGCCCTGAGGAAGGGGCTGGATCCTGAATAACTGTGTCAGCCTGGAAAGTTCAGGCTCAGGGAGTCTGTCACTGTTTGTACTTAATGAAGTCATCCACCTGTCAAAGGGCTGCTGAGCTAAAGGATCCTGCCTGGCTCCAGGAGCAAGGCTGGGCTCATTCTGTCTGTTGGGGAAGATCACACTCAGTTTAAGCTGTCTTGGGTTGGATTTGGGTTTTGGAAATAAGCTGATGAAGGTTTTCTTCCTCTACAGAAACAGTCAGGCCCTTTAAAGAAGAAATTCAAGAGCCATCACCGAAAACCCAAGAACTTCAAGAAAGCAACAAATGGGAAATAAATGTTGTGATAAACACATGGCCTGAAGCTTGTTGTACAATAGTTCTAGTGGGAGCACAGGACTGAAGTGTTTGCCCATTCCAGTTAACTGTTACAGGTGCAGAGGGGAATAGTGGGGTAGAACGAAGTTGTATTCAAACAGCTTCAAGCCATCTCCACACCAAGGGACAGATTTCTGCAGTCAAGTCCAGACAGCTGAGCACTCAGAGCTCTTCACAAAAAGCTGATTTTTGGTAGGCAGGAAAGTACACCAGCCCCTGACCAGCCTCTCCATGGAATGTCACCAGCCACACACACCAAGTGGATACAAAGATGCCATTGTTTTATTTTGATTGTTTTCAAAAATCAAAACATTTTCAAACACAACTAAGGTACAAAATACAGCATAAAATGAGAATTTATACTTATTTCTGTTTGTTTTTTTCCACATAGAAAGCAAAAATATATTCAGAATGAATTCCAGAACACTTTGCAGAGCCAATTGGTAGCTGACATCCTGCTTGGGAGAGCTTCTCAGCCAAGGGAGAGAGGTCACTATCTCTGGGAGATGCACAAGTACAGCAGCGAATATAGGAAACCAGAATCTTCTGCAGCAGGACTCACAGGTAGTAAGTCTGCACGTTGGGCTGCCTAGAAGTATCTGATAATGCCCTCCAACTAACTGTGCCCCTCGAG